GACGAGAACTCCGAGGACGCACGATCTCTAAGCACGCACGACGGGTTGTAAGAGAGGCTTTAGGAACATAGTATTCACATCCCAATATAGGTCCACCGACAAATACTATTACAGGTAGCAGTTTACTCTGGTGCCGTCTTCATCCAGCAAGCACTGGGCTGGGACCTGTACATAGCCACCATCAGCGTGGTGCTGATCACTGCGGTATACACTGTGTTGGGAGGCCTGTCTGCAGTCATATACACAGACGCTGTTCAGACTATTATTTTGGTAGGGGGCGCTTTGGTCATGACGGGGATTGGTAAGTATCTTTTATACTTGCCTCACTATAAAACAAGGTGATATTTTGCGACAGGACGGAACGTTCAAAGGAGTAGGCCTACTTTTAAGTAAAATTAATTAAAATCTCAAAAAGTGTCTCTGCTAAAAAAAAAAGTGGCATTTTTTATATTGGTGGTTTAACATTGGCTGGTAAAAATAAGAGGTTGAACAGTCTGTCTGCCCAAAAAGGCTCTCACGACCGGTCACTAGATCGTTTATTTTTTCTTTTAATTCACAAAGGCTTTGATAAAGTCGGAGGATTTGAAGGTTTATTCGCCAAATTCCTGGACGCCGCTCCCAATGTGACCACGTGCGCTGGTAACGTCACTGCCGGTTACCCGCCACCGGATTCTCTCCGCATCTTCCGAGCCCCGGATTCTGCCATATTGCCGTGGCCGGGGGTGGTGTTTGGTATTATGGCTCCTGCTGTCCTGGTTTGGTGTAATGAGCAGGTAGGCAGATTGCAGGATAACAGTCTATAAATGGCATTTACAAGTACATGCAATGTACCTGGAATATTTTATCTATCTCTGTGGATACCGCCAGGAATTAAAATTGAACGTCCGTGGGCACGAAGTCAAATAAGATGTTTTCAAGTAGGATGTCAAGCACATGGCATAAGGTATATGGAGGTATATTTGAACAACGTACCTGTGTCTCGTTTCTCATAAATTTTGACCCAGCTATAGAGCATTGCACTATAGGGCAGTTTATATTCAGCTACCTACATGTAAAAAACAATGATTCTGACCCGGTTACACATAGTGCTGACTTTCCATAATTCAGATAATTGTCCAAAGAGTTCTTGCCGCTAAGAACCTTCACCACGCCAAGGGAGGCACCATTCTAGCCGGCTACCTGAAGCTGCTCCCGTTCATCATCATTGTGTTGCCGGGGATGGTGAGCAGGGTGCTCTTCCCTGGTGGGTTACAATGTATTACATAACATCAACATAACTACATTAATTTCACTCTTATTTGAGGCTTATACACACACACACACACACACACACACACACACATAGACTGCATATTCTTCATAACTTGGAAACTGTCACCGAAAAATGTTCTATTAGTTTAACTGACGTCACCGAATGACTTGAAAACAGGGACCACCGTTGCACTTTAGATTTTTGCATGCTCTCCGAAAAAGTCTGATCTTGTGATGACGTTATTTAGTCTCTCTTGTGTCTAAGCTATTCCATTTGTTGTATGTGTTTTTAGATGAGGTCGGTTGTGTGGACCCAGACATATGTGAGAAAGTGTGTCAGAATAGAGTGGGCTGCTATAACATAGCCTATCCCAAGATGGTGGTGGAAATATTGCCAGTCGGTAGGTTGATCTATTCAACTCATACTTTTCATTTGTTTATTCATGAGGTATCATTCGAATCAGCATCTTTAGAAAAGAAAAATATCATTTATGTAATCTTTGATGCAGCTATAAAGTAATTGACAAATATTCAATGAATTGAAAAACATTGGTGCAGTAAGGTGTTGTCCATTCATTGCTTTCATCATTATACTACATGTCTTCCAGGACTTCGAGGGCTAATGCTGGCCGTCATGTTGTCGGCGCTGACCACGACGCTGACCTCTATATTTAACAGCGCCAGCAGCATCTTTACCCTGGATCTGTGGACCAAACTCAGAAAACGAGCAACTGAGACAGAGAAAATGATTGTAGGAAGGTGAGTGACGTGTCTTCCAACCACGGTCTTTCACTTGTATGGAAGTAGCAACATCAGTTTAGTTTAAATTTGGTGATTCAAGACAAAATTAAATGTACTCCTCTCCAATTTTCCTGTTGTTTAATTAGCTTAAATCGAAAGGATCGCACTTTTGACGAGGCAGAAACGTTTGCACGAACTGGAAGTCTTTGAAAACAGAGTAACAAACAGGTTATTTATTTAACAAAAACCAAGAAAACCTTTATGTGCCTTTGCTTGCTTCGTTTGTTTCGACCGCCGTTCAGGAATATTCTTTGAAGACAAAATCCATAAACAAAACTATTGGCACCATAAGGCAAATATCGTTTCAAGCCCCAAAAATCAGAAACCCAACAGGATTCAGTCCATTTCTGGTCTTAATTGCATCTAATGTGAACATATTTTTATATCTGTATTTTTCTCTTTTTTCCCCATTGACAGGGTGTTCATCCTTGTTCTGGTAGTTGTGAGCATAGCGTGGGTTCCTATCCTGAATGCCGTCCAGGGAGGACAGCTGTGGAACTACCTGCAGTCTATATACGCGAATATAGCGCCGCCCTGGTGTATGGTCTACGTATTAGGAGTGTCATGGACACGAACCACGGAACAGGTATAGAACAATTGTTATATTTAACATTTTCAGGGGCAGACCTTTAATGCCTAGCCCCCTCTCATTTGTGCTCAGTGCACAGCGTCACAAAGTTGCAACCGCTTCAGTGACTACTGCCATCTCATTGTTGCTCAAACCACAGATTTTTTAGAAACATATGCATATAAGTTATATATTTATTTCGCGTGAATTATTTTCGTAAAGTTATGTTCTTACTTTGTACAATTTCTTCTCGGGAGTTGGTGATACAGCATCTTAAAGCTGATAAATCTGTTTTTACTGCATAGAGCACAGAGCATGTCATAACTCTGTGCAAACCGTCATTCCTCCTTAGATTTCTGCTGCATTCCCATATAACAAATTGATGAGAAGATGTTTGTCAGATGAAACAGTAAAGTCAGAACGGTGGCACATACTGTATTTTGTACTTGCACTGTGTTTTGTATAGGCTATCTGCCCCAACAGAACATATTGTATATAACATTGCAATTTTACTGAAGGGCGCCTTCTGGGGCCTCCTTGTCGGGACAGCAGTGGGTCTAACCAGGATGGTAATGGACTGGTCTTTTCCCAAACCCGGATGTGGCGAGGTCGACCTCAGACCGGCCGTGCTCGCTGACGTGCACTACCTTTACTTCTCCATCATCAACTCGGTTATCTCCGCTGTCGCAATTGCCACAATCAGCATCCTCACTGAACCCAGAAAGAAATCGGAGGTAAGAAACTGAACTTTCCGTCTCCGCTGCAGCAATCGACACAGTGCTCTAGAACATTTTGTCATATCCGATGTTGTTACCTTACTCAGTAAGTTACTGAACGTATGCAGTGATTATGGGCAAAATGAATAATGATACGTTAACTCTCTCCGCAGAATGGATTGTTTGTCAATAATTTTATTACAATTCAGGTATTATTTGTCCAAGAAATTGTAACGTCATGTTTTATTAGATTAATGTTTTACGTGGTTAATCGGTATCGTTTCAGCTTGCTGGGGTCACGTGGTTTACTCGCCATGAAAAACTGCAGACCAGTAGTGTTGAGAGGACGAAAGCCACTCAGAAAATGGAAATTCAGGAACCTTCGGATTTAATGGCTGGCGATATGGAATTAGGTAAACCTGCAGTATGCGACGTTGATACATGAACGAAAGGTGTGGTCTCGGCCATTTTCGAGAGGAAGAGGACGAGACAGCGGTCATTTCTATCTTACTTTTTCTATTAGAAGAGGGTCAGTGTGGGTGGGGGAACAGAAATTATGTTCGTATTTTAAGCATTAATGTCAATTTAAAGACATTATCCTTTTAGTTCTAAATAACTGTTAAATTGTTCTATGATAATGATAATTATTTTGGGAATGAATGGATCGAGCATATGCATCACAATGATTTTCATTTGAATTCCCACTATGTTGGAGTTATTTCATTTAGCAAATTTTATCTGTTGACGATAACATATTTCACTGGGGTTTTCATTTTAATGGTTTAAATGATTATTCACAGACCACGACAACCCGACCGGTTGGAAGCAGAAATGTTTCAACTTTGTGTGTGGAGCATCGACCAAAGTTCGTCGTCTCACTCCGGAACAGGAAGCGTTACAGTTGGAGAGACTAACGTCCATTAAGGAGATTCCGAAATGGCAGAAGATTCTTAATGTAAACGCAGTAATTTTGATGACAGTGACTGTATACTTAATTGGATTTTTCAGCTAAAACTACATGTTAACAATATCCTTAACCGCCACACCCCCAACACTCACCCACACCAGTATATAATGGCAGATTTATTATAAAATACTGGAACATGTACATAAATGTATGTCCACTGAATATCCCAACCGTACCTATAAATAAAAATCTTCAGTGACATTTTGTATTTATTCTGCACTGCCCACGAATACATGTAGCAGTGAACTTTGTTTAGGATCCGTTTCGGTGAGAGCTTGGACATAATAAGATTCCTTTTTATGCCCAAGGTGAGAGGCAAACTTGCAAACAAAACTAATTTTTTTACACCATAAAATTGATATGACGCCAACAGATGGGATGCCGCTTTTAATGGGAAAATAACATATTTTCTTAAACTATATAATTTTTTATTGGTATGTATTACATTAAAACTGTTTAAAAACCTCCCTTGAGTTTTAGTTGTCATTTGAAGATTTATGTAGATATTCAGTAAAGAGGACAGAAATACATCGATTTCAGTAGGAACAATCGCGAGCTTCCTTCCAGTCAAGTTGATTTCTGTAAGTGACTCCATCTTCCTAGTATTAATAGAAATTACCCCAAGCCTTCGATGACGACAGATCATCTAATTTCTGGACAAAGGAAGCCCTCTTGTGAACACAAGGGCACGTGACTGCTAGATTTCTTCAACGATGATTCTGGTAGCACTATTCCAGCCAGTGTATGCATCTCCTCCTAACTGACTTTCTCCTCTCTTGCAAGGGCCAACATGTACACCAATCGCAACTTGTCCCGACCGTAAGTGCTCGCAGATACCTTCAACTATAAAGTACACAGTGAATTTCATAATCAGGCGTGTCGACTTGAGGCATTTGATTTTAAGGCAAAGAATACTAATTATTGGCGGGAAACGTTTCATGACGACACGATATCCCGACAGGTTCCGTAATTTAGTTAATTGCTTACATATTCTACAGCCTATAGGCATGTTCTTTTTTTTACAAAAATTGTTTTCCTCTAAGTCTATTACTTTCTCTTTAGCCATACTTAATTTAGGTAAAAATATACAAATCAATTCCAAAGACTGGCAGAATATTTTAACTTACACGGCGCACGCACAAAAGTACAGATCGACAGACACATTAATCCTAATTATTCATATACAGTAAAATATACAAACACAGCACGCGTAAATAACACGCAAGGTACACATGCAAATACACATGCACGGAAAAGAACACACGTGCACATCTACACATACCTGTACATACACACAAAAGTTTTCTATAAGAACACTTACGGGTGGAATCTCGGTGAATATTATACTGATGGGTAGAATAGAACTGTGTATCAATAGATGCGGGACTGTCACATTCGGTGTTATTGAATGTTAACCAGTAACGCCGGCAGCTCTCGGTTTGCCCTGCAGGGGTCATGACGCGGATATTACCGTGGAAAGCCACTCGGAGCATAGTTGACATTTCGGCTTTGAAGAATGTCACCTCCTTAAATTAAACAGAAGGTTAATTAAAAAACTTTCAAGAATACCTAGCCCATCTGGTATCAGTGACTGGCAAAGTAGATTGGAAAAGTGTGTGGAGTGGGAAGGTGCAATATGTTGAGAAATAAAGTAGTATAAATTCAACTATCTTGCTTTTTTCTGTATGAGACTCAATATTTATCTTACCTTAATCAGACCGTCATCTTTGCCGTCGTTGATATCCGTCCAAGTGAACTGTCTAATATTTCTCGGAGAACACTGTGAACCTGTTAAAAACAGAATATCGAAAACATTAGCTATACAAGTACACAGGGTTATGTATTCATTGGGAGATATGTTACTCAATAACTTAAACTGAATGATGGTGTCAACATGATCAAATGTTTTTTTCTTTCAAACTTACACTATAATCTCAGGTTTAGCAAAATCAAAGAAAGTGTCTATCTTTATTTTTACGTGCTTGAGCATAAAATTACTTTTGCCTTTGTTGTTTTTACTGATTTGTTTTCTTTTTACAGTTATAATTCCCTTAATCACCTTTTCCTGAAAACACAACCACTCTCAATTGTGCTCAAGGTCCATAAACTTCTCAGCATAACATTATATGTTTCAACCTCACCGTTTTCTCCCTTAGGTCCTGGCGGGCCTCTCTCACCCTGCAAGCCGTCTCTCCCGTCCCTACCGTCTCTGCCATTCGTTCCGTTGGTACCGTCCTTGCCGTCCTTACCGTCCTTGCCACACTGCTGACAGGGAAATAATAAAATTGTTTAGACACCAAGATAAATGCCTTCTGTATTCAAATCTTAGACCATTTGAAAGAGCACCAAACCACATTCCAAACAATTCATCTGAAAACACGTAACTTGCTCCGTGAAAGAATGTTGAAGACTTGAAACTTTGCTTGACACGCCGGTTCCATGCTCAGTATAGTAGGACTAAAATTCATAAATAGTTAAAATTTGATAACTTACTTGCACTTGAGCACGTGCTGACATGGCTAAAATGGAGTAAACTGCCAGAACAGCTATAACGATGCTTTTTAAGCAGTTCATCATAAATTCTGCCTATTTGACTGGTTATCGAAATAATGACTTATCTGGTTTTCGTAACAGGAAAACTTGCTGTATTTATACCGGTAAACAGGAAAAACAGTCTCAAACTGGCATGGAAACAGTATAAATATCACGACGTTGGCATAGAACCAGTAAAAATATTTATACACGTAAATAATGCTTTTACAATAAAAAAAAATGTTTATAGGTGAAGAAATCTGTAGAGGCATCAGGGGCTTGTCATAAATTATTCGATTATACTATACATTGAAAGAAACCGCATTTTCCATAAGTTATTCTGAGCCTAGTAGGGTGATCAACTTTCGTCCGTGTTGTCATTGTCCACCGGTATCTTAGAAAGCGTTCAAAGGACATACGTAGCGTTTATAAGACACACATAGCAGCGTTTCTAATGAAAGTTGACATCTCATGACTTCGATCAAGTTGCTGCCCACAGCGTAGCTGGCGCGTAGAGACCCAAGGATAGCTGATGTACTATTGAAAGTGGAATTTCTTTAACCTAGAACTAATGACAACAGTAACTTTATTGAACTAGACTTATTGAGGACTTGAGCCACTATCCCAGTAAAATACTCAGCATGCAATCTAGATCTTTACTCCAGACTCGCATTCTCGATGTAATGCGCTCTTTGCGCCCACACACTATATGGCACCATGGGTAGAGCGCTTGGGTTTAATTACAGTAGGTGTGCGCAGAGAGCCATAGCCAAGGTCCACCGAGAAAATTTTCACTCGATATTCGCAAATCCTTTTTTTATCAAATTGTATGGACATTTGCGTACTGTGGCCAGCGAGCATTTTGGCACAGAAATTCAAAAATAACTTCATCGCTCGTCTGGCCTCAGGTTGAGAGTACCATATGTTGCCCTTCCCCCTCCACATACTCCACATATCATCTTTGGGAAAACATTCTGACAAATAGGATGAAACTGTACAGTTAGGGTTCATTCCTTTTTATTAGACAAATAGAATCACAAAACTTAAGCGGGCCAAGCACGCTCCCCTGAGGAACACCAAATAAAAGCTGTGAGAGTTCACCCCAATTTTAAAGCATCTGCACTGGTTACCAGTTAGGGCCAGAATTTTATTTAAGGTTTTAGTTTTTACACATGCTGCTTTTTATAATCTAGCTCCACCATACATAACTGATTTAGTCGAACATTATAGCCCTCAAAGATCCCTGGGGTCTGGTGACAAACTTTTACTGAAAGTTCCAAAATCAAGGTTAAAATCATATGGTGACATATCATTTTGTGTAGCTGCACCAGTAGAGTGAAATAAGTTGCCAATTTTTATTAGACAAATAGAATCACAAGAATCTTTTAAAAAGGAATTAAAAACTCATATTTTTAAGACATTTTATTCATGAATCTTAAATTTTATAATTTTAAAGAAACCTTGGATTTTTTACTTTTAATTACTGTTTATTACAATTAAGTTAGTTTAGCTCTTATTTATATAAAATATATCTTAACCATTTTTATCTATAAACTTCTTTGTATTTTATGTTGTACAGTCTATTGAACATTTTATGGATTTTAGACATGAAATAAATATATTATTATTATTATTATTATTCCCAATGAAACCATCGTTCTACGCAGATCTCTCCAACTCCGCGGAGACTCTCGCTAAATGCAATCAGATTAACACTCCTCTTATTTTCAACGCACTCGCATAATTACCAGCTTTTTTATATTCTGCTCAACGCTAATCTGCTAGTCTGGTTGGCAGTTTAGAACGATAGTTCCATTGGGAATAAGCCCTAGCTTACACTCTGCACGTAAGCCACGATAACCTTCTTGTATGTTACTGTAGGCTTAAATTGATAACAGCTTGCTGACATACTTACTACGTCAGCTCACAGCGTCGAGGCCCTGCACTCGCTGGGTCTAGGTCTTTTCCGAAATTTAAGAAACTGTTGGCCTCACCCAGACGTGGTCAAGAACAATGGCTATCCACTGGGTGGACATCCTTACAATTGTCCTGTACTTTGCAGTCGTCTTAGGCGTTGGATTGTGGGTAAGACCATGTTGTGCCCCCAATGTATGACTTCACTGAGTGAGAAGATTTGAGAATGATTATTTCAATCAGACCAAACTTTGGCAGAGGTTATGTCAATTTGTAATTGGATAGATAGCCACAATGTTGGCCGTTCTGACTGTGAAAATATGCTAAAGAGGACATATAATGCAAGAAAGTACTTCTAAAAAAGGCCCGCTTTTATTTTAGACGGTAAAATTGTAAATTTGCATGTTGTTGTAAGGGGGTTGACCTTCAATATGAACCGATTTCTATTCATTTTATGAGTTTTAGCGGTGCCGTTTATGCTTTAATTAGGGGAAATAAATGAAAATATTTTTCAAAATATTTACAGACAAGTTTCCGAACCAACAAGCAGGATTCAGTGAAGGGGTATTTCTTAGCCGGCAAAGACATGACCTGGCTACCGGTGAGCTTACGTCAATCATTCCATCTCAATGGCGGGCCCAGGAGGTGCACAGTAGTTCTGTTTTCCTTCCATAGTTTCAGAGGGGGTACCCCCCCTGCTACCCCCCCCAAAAAAAAAAAAAAAAAAAAAAATATATATTTATATTATTATATTATTATAATATATAATAT